GTTTCTCTTCAGGATCGATGGAAGCTACTTTCGCTGTATCGCCCTACCGTTTGGATGGAAGCTATCTCCGTTCTACTTCGTCAAGTTCATGCGACCTTTCGTCGAGTACATCAGGGACCGGCTCAATCTTCGCATCCACCCGTACATGGACGATTTTCTGGTAGCTGTTCAAGGTCACTCCGAACTCCGAAGAGCCCAGCGGCTCCTGGACCAACTACTGCAGAAAACCGGTCTTCGCAGAAAGCCAGGGAAAGGCTGCTGGGACGGGTCGCAACGATTGGACCACCTCGGGTTTGTGATAGACACCAAGGCTCAAGTGTTCGGGATCACGGACAAAAGGATTCAGAAGATTCAGGCTATCGCTCGGAAACTGCTACAACAAGCCCGACAGAACCGTCGGTTGGTGGAAACATCTTTGTTACGCCACTTCCTCGGAGTAGCCATCTCATGTTCTCTGGCCATGCCACTCGCCCGCTTCTACACCAGGTCTCTGTACGACTCGCTACGGGGCCCAACGAAGCGGCGCGTGAAGCTCAAACACACAGCCATCCGGGATTTGATACATTGGAAAGAACTGGTCAAATCACCGTCTACGCGCCCTCTCCATCACCAAACGGCCTCAATGGCAATGCACTCCGATGCATCAACCTCAATTGGGATGGGAGGGACACTGGGACACGACCTCAGGATGGGGGAACCAGGGGTCTGGGAAGCAAAAGGACTCTGGGATCCGCATCTACGGACAAAGCCCATCACCTTTTTGGAACTCAGGGCAGTAACGGACAATCTGAAGGCATTCGCAGACGACCTTCGCAAGGGGACCCATCTCCGCGTATGGGAGGACAATCAGGCCGTGGTCCACATACTCAACACGATGACCACGCGCTCACCAGCCCTAATGAAGGAACTGCGGGCGCTACACAAGGTACTGCTCAAGCTGGGAATCTCAATCGAGTCACGATACGTCCCTTCTGCCGTCAACCGCTTCGCAGATCGCCTCTCTCGCTTGCGTTCACTGGACGACTGGAGGATCAACACCCGGACAATCAGGGCGCTCTTACGCGAGATGGATCCAACAATCGACCGGTTCGCGGATCAAGAATCAACGATCTGCCGCCGGTTCAACAGCCGCTACCGCTCACCGGGATCCTCAGGAATCGATGCGCTACAGCAACACTGGGGACAAACGATCAACTTCTGGAATCCCCCGCTCAAGCTCATCCCACTTGTCGTGGAAAAGATCATCCAGGAAACGGCACAGGGTCTCCTGGTCACCCCGTGGTGGCCCGCTCAGTCGTGGTGTCGTCGCCTCAAGGAAATCGGAACGTTTCAGCTGTTTCAGGCGCCAGACGTCTATCTACCCCCATTGTGGGCCCCACAGCACCTGCCGGCCCCACCGTGGAAAATAGCCATCTGGACGATACGCAGCAGCTTCCGCTAGCCGCCGCGCTACGGGGCTCAGTTCTACGCGCCGCCGGAGTTGGAATCTCAGGCGGAGGAACTACTATCGCTGGTCTGATTCACCGCGCTCGTGCACCCAACACCTGGAAGAACAATGAGCGATTCTGGCAGAAGTGGACTACGTTCTGTACGTTGGAAAGGATCGACCCATGGGCTGCGGATGAAGGATCTCTGCTCCGGTACCTCGGTTGGCTCTTCGACTCAGGCACGATTGCTGGCGGATCAGTCAAGAATTACGTCTCCGCAGTGGTAACGGCCCACAAACGCGTCAAATTGCCCGTTGGATACACCCCACTCATCCAACTCGCGCTGGCCGCCTACCAACAGTCTGACCTGGATCGCCGCGCCGAAAACGACCCGGACGCACACAAGGAACGACGGGCCCTCCCGAGCACCGTGGCCAAGAAAATCTTCAACGCTGCAATGGCCGCTCCTGCTCTCAACCGTCAGTTCATTCGCAACGCTACCGCTGTTCTGGTTTCCTACGTCTTCTTCGAAAGGGGCGAAGCTGGCGCTGCGCTTCGCTTGGACAACATTCAAGTTTCGGAACAATCAATTGACTTGGCAATTGCTTTACGGAAAAATCGATCTCGCGTGGCACATACTCTATCCTACACTAGGCTAGCTCCTGACAAGCCATCGCTCATCGACTTGGTCTTACGGTACGACAAGTACCGTCGAAACACCCGCTCCACAAGTCGCTACTATTGGGCCCTCCCGGGCCAACGGCTCACACCGTCATCGGCAAGCATCTCACGTTGGCTCCAAGCTTGCTTGTCTCACGCTGGCGTCACTCCCCCTCCGCAAGTGCTGTGGTCCTCACACTCGCTTCGCATGGGTGCTGCATCGGAATGCGCTGCAATAGGAGTTCCTTCCTACCGCATTCGCATCTGGGGGGATTGGAGTGTCGCTCGCACAATGGAAGAATCCTATCTCGACGCTCGCGTACAGCCGTGCGAGGATTCCGTCTTCTTTTTCGGACACCTGTCCGAAATCTCGACTACTCCCTATGGAGTTTCTTCAACATTATTCAGTGCATTCATTGGCAATTGAAATGTGAATTTGGACAAGGGGGCTTTCGGTTGGAACGCACGACAACTCAGAAGGAAGTGGAAATCAAGTGGACCATTTCATCCGCAGAAAGCCAAGTCAGGATGACTTGGCCACAAGTCAGCGCCAAGCCACCCGCCATGATTTGGAATGATTCTTCGTTCGCGTAATGAAGAGCTTGTCAAAAGCAAAAAATCAGCACCAAGTCACGAATGACTTGGTGCTGTTCTTCGTTCGCGTAATCAACACTTGGCACAAAAATGAATCATCACCAAGTCACACGCAATGGTTTGGCACCCCCACGATAACTTGGCAATGATTGCGAATGATTCTTCATTCGCGTCATGGAACTTGGCAGAAATGGAAATTCGGCCACTGTCCGAAAACAGGGCTGTATAAGAGAGGCACGTCAAACTCTCTCTCACCACTCTTCTCTCTTCCTCAAGTCGTCGCTTGTTTCTCCCACCATCCCACCCTCAGCTTCGCTGCTCAGTCATCAAGTCGTCACTGGTTTGTTCTCTCCCTACTCTTTCTTGTATGGCTTAACCATTCGGGAATGTTTTCACACACACGCTGGGTAAGATAACGCGATCTCTCGGTCGCCACTCAAGCCCTCCCATCCTGGAAATGCCCCCTCATCTTTGAAGCTTACCAAAGCAGAACTCGAACTCAGGTGAGTCATGGACGCGCGCCCCGTATCAAGCCGAATGTGGTCCTCATCCGCCGAAGCGGGTAGTATCGCAAGGATAGCGGCCCGGGGTGGCATGGAAACGCGCGCCACTACGCTGCTCTGGCCGTTGTATCAACGTTTATGTCCACACCAATTGGGGACAGCGAAAGACAGGGGCAATCCTCTGGAATTCAAGGAACGGTAAGCATTTTTCTGGACCGAGATCTTTAGGTAATAAAGCGTAATCTTGTTTCTTCAACATTATTCACGGACAACGTTACTGTATACAAAAACCGCCGTTTTGCTCGTCGTTCGGCTCCCGATGTATTTGTTCGTGCACAGACACAAACGCACAAATGCACCTACACGTGTACCTCTCCCATCAACTGTCATCCGTGCAAGCTCTCTCATCCCCAGCCTGTTTGTCCGCCGGTCTCGTCTTCTTCTCCCTTCTGCAGTAGGACGGTGACGGAACGTGATGTTTCGTTGCCGCTTCGCCCGTTGCAGCAACAAAAGATGAAGCAGATACTTCATCTGAGGGATGAATGGGATGTGGATATGAAGGTGGAATGGCGATATGTGCGCTGGGCTTTTCCGTACTGCTGTGAGGGTGCATACGCATTGCAAATGCATCATACATATTTTATGTCATTTGCATTTCCGTGCCAGATCACAAAATATGACACACATACTAAGGGAATTTGTGTGTACAAAATTTATGTGCGTTTGTGTTTTTCGGAGTCGCCCAATACCATAATGGGCGACTCCTGAAATTCTAAAATCGCAAATTGTGTTGACCAAATCGGGATTTTGTGACACACAAACGGCGCGTTGTGCACACACAACGCGCGGTTTTCTCGGACGGGCGACCCCATGCTAGGTTAAATGTGTATCGCACAAATGTCAAAATGTGCGCGCGTACAATCCAAATTTACTGTACACAGAGAAAGCGTCGGCCGCCGCCCGACCGACGAGACTCGACATCTACATCCTACCGAGCATGGCTCTGAATGAGAAGTAGCAATAGAATAGCCATTTGGTCATTCATGGTTCTGACGGTGGCTGCTCGGTGAAAACACCATCATGATTGAGCTTAGCTCACAGCACACACTGTAGATAGAGCTCCGACGGCGTCATCGCCGGCGTCCGGTGCCGTGCTCGTCGTTAGGAACGACCCTGACACACCGTGCTCGTCGTTAGGAACGAGTTCAAAGCATGCGTACAGTAGGGGACGCACATTATGTGCGCAAGCATTTCGGTGGTAAAACTCATTTTTTGTTCACAAAAAAGAAAAATATGACTCTGACACAAAAAATAATTTCCGGAGGCGCCCAATCTGAAAAAAGATGTACTCTCCCGCAACGCAAAGTCAAGTAGGTTGGCAAGAGTTTCTTTCCTGCTTTTATCGAGTTCTCACAAGCCGAGAAATGTATGTTGAAACACAGCCACATAATATGCGACTGTCTACGGACATGACAAGTTACCTCATATAATGACATGACAAGTTAACTCATATTATGTTACCTCATGAGGTAACTTGTCATTTCTGCACACTCGAAAATACATTACGTAAGGAGTGCGCGTGGTTTCATTCAGGGCTTTTGCGCTGGAGTTCTTTAAGTAAAGTTTTGTTCAAGGCGGCAGTCATATCGCAGGGGGAGTTCGCTTCCCTCGTGCGATGAAGCACTCCACCTCGGACAGGGGGCAGGGGCGCAGCACAAGTGCTTACTAACCGAACTCAAAGTAATTGTGGGCCGGTGAAGCAGAAGCGAGCTGCGGCAGATTTGTGTTTGGCTTTCCGTGATGAACCAGAACCGTATTTTTCTTATCCGAACAATTTAGTGTACTGTGATGTCTAAGTCCTAAAGTTCATCCTAAAGAACAGACAAGTGGAAATGAGGGCCAGGTTTCAAGCCCTACAGCCTGTCGTAAAAGTTTCCGATATCCGGAACTACTGGCTTCAAACCCTTGCGCTCGCGGATAGCCTTCACTAAAGTGCCAACAGTTTCGGCTGGGTCAAGCGGGTCACCGGCCATAGTGCTCCAATGATCGAACACGCACTGCGGGAATGCCTGTCCACCAGTGGCGGAGCGGAGATCCGCGGTAAAACCAAATGATTCCTGTACTGGCAGGTATGCTTTGACGTTGAACATAGGGGTCCCGGGACGTTGCACTTCCTCAAAAACGTGACCACGCTTGCGGGTCAGAACGCCATAGATCGATCCTACAATCGTCTCAGGGCACTGAATTTCTACCAAGAAGAAAGGTTCCACTAATTTCGGTCCAGCCAGTAGTTGCGCTCCGAACAGAGCACGACGGCAAGTTGGGATGATCTGACCACCACCGCGGTGAATGGTATCGGCGTGCAAGCTGCAGTCGTGAATGTTGAAGAGAATACCGCGCATGTTCTCATCGCAGAGAACACCCTCCTTGGTGGCCCATTGGAATGCGGCCACGCAAGAATCCTTGATGTCATTCAGGTACTGCACAGCCTTAGCACGATCTACGAGCAAGTTGGCACCGGTTGTGTCTGGACCGAAGCACCAGATCTTCTTCGCCGCATCCTCAGGAACTCCATACTCATCACGGAGCATCTTCATGCGGGCCTTGGCTTCGTCGCGGGGAGTGACCTTGCCGTCCTCAATGGCTTCCGGAAGATTGTCAGGCAACGGGGTGGCGTAAATGTACAAGCGATTGTGCTTGTTGGGACTCTTGGACAGGCATATGGCCGTGTTTTCGGGATTTTCTACACCTTCGATTGTCTCACGGAACGTGACAACTGGATTCGAAACGCGAATTTCGGCCCCGTTCATGAAGTCATCCTTGAGATCCTTCAGGCAAATTTCCAGATGCAATTCACCTGCACCAGCGATAACGTGCTCACCTGACTCTTCTGTAATAGTTTGCACCAGCGGATCTGACTTCGCGAGACGCTTCAGACCTTCTACCAGTTTCGGGAGGTCACTGGGATTCTTCGGCTCGACGGCCACACGCACGACTGGGGACACTGAGTACTTCATGTCCTTGAGTGGGAAGGCGCTCTCGACATCCGAAATGGTTCCAGATTTGATAATGACCTGGTCCAGCCCGACCAGACCAACGGTGTTACCGCAGGGGACGGAGTCGACAGCATCGGTACGTCGTCCCATCATGAGAAGAGTGCGCTGAACGCTCTTGACGGCAAGGTCCTTCTTTGTACCGGGGACGTAGTTGGGACCCATAATCCTTACTTTCATCCCCGCGCGAACAGTTCCCGAGAACACGCGCCCGTATGCGATGAAGCGGCCCTTATCGGAAGACGGAACCATCTTAGATATGTACAGCATGAGCGGACCATTAGCATCGCAGTTGCGGATAGCGGTACAGCAAGCGTCGTCCGGGGGGCCCTCATAGAGAAGCTCCGCACGATACTTTTGAGCCTCGGCAGGGGCGGGCAGGTAAAGGACCATCATTTCCAACAAAGCCTGATCGGCGGGAAGCCACTTCTGCAACACACGCTTCATTAGCGGCTTTTGTCGCAGCTCTTTGTCCTCCGTTGTGAGCTTGATATTCAAGCTGGTTAAGAGCTTGGTCAGATCCTCAACCTTGTCGGCCATGCACAGTTCAATGATTTTCTTGATGGGCTTGATGACGAACTCGCAGAAGGCACGGACGCCGCCCTTACCTTCGCGCTTCGTCCACTTCTTCTCCTTCCGGTTGAAGAAGGAGTCACCCCACAAACGAGAGGTCATTTTCTCCGGTTCGACCCCAAACTTTTTGGAGTACATGCGTGCGAAACGGTTGAGGGTGAAGGCCCATCCGTGCAGACCGGCGGAGAAAGCGACGGTACCAGCATCCGGGTACACCTGTACATCACCGAGCTCCTCATCTTGATAGGTAGACATGATGACGTTGGCCGTCTCGATAATACGCGAGAAGTTTTGGTACATGTCCTCGGGTTCCAGTTGGAGTTCAAGGAAGGAGCGATCGAGCTTGTTGATGGTCATGACCGGCTTGATGCGCTCTGCGAGGGCCTGGCGCAGGACAGTCTCGGTCTGGACACAAACACCCTCGACAGAATCGACAACAACAAGAGCACCATCAGTGACGCGAAGTGCTGCGGTGACCTCGGAGGAAAAGTCAACGTGGCCCGGCGAATCGATTAGGTTGATAAGGAAGTTGCGGCCGTCGGCTTCCTTGGGGAGCGGGAGATCGTCCGGGAAATTAAAGAACAGAGAAATACCAGTGGACTTGATGGTAATGCATCGATCCTGTTCATCCTGACGGGTGTCGGTAAGCCTCTGGTCGCCGGCGTTGGCCATGGCGATGATGCCGGCAGCGGCGACGAGAGAGTCGGTGAGGGTGGATTTGCCGTGGTCAACATGAGCAATAACGGACATGTTACGGATGTTGTACTTGCGGTCCATGATCTCACGGAGTTGGTCAATCGTGAAGTTAACCTTTTGAGAAAAACGGAAGATGCAAGCATAGTTCGAAAGGCGCGGCGAAGATGAATCAATTTCATCAGGGACAAGCACATGGCGGAAACGCAGAATAGATGAACAAGTTGGTGCCAAGTCAACGGAAAAGTGTTAGAACCCTCGATCGGCATGAATGAGTACAACTATGGGTACTATCGTCAACGCTTTTGGCGACGGGAAAAGTGAAGGAGGACGTACCATTGCGAAAGATGGAGATCAGCCCGGCGGCTCGCTTCTTAAGGCAGGATGTTGTGGATTGGCAGCTTGGTGGCAGACACAAGCCGGCTCAGGTCTAGGACTAAGGGGGGTGGGGAAAGCTGTCTAGAGACAACGGCAAGTACAGATCGAGGGAAGGGGGATAAGCAGTTGGGCGTCGACGGTGCGAATATATAAAGTTGAAACGGAAATTAATCCGCCGTCGTGCCAGACGCCGAGCGGTGGCCCAGTCAGGGCCAAGTCCCAGGTCGTCACGCGGGCGGACCGTGAGCTGTCCAGCGACTATCTCTGGACCGGTGGTGCAAAAAATGCAGAGTCGGCATCTTTCTCGCTGTCCAATCACTGTCCTTCACCGCGCCGTCTGGGCCGTAATAGAATTGCTATCAACCCACTCGGTCCGCGGCAGGGCCCAGTGATCCAGAGCTCGAGATTCAATCTTATGGGTAGGTAAAGGATCCCCGGATGGCCAGCCCCATTCCAGCGAGATACAATATTGGGCCAGGCAGGCAAAACCTTCGATGCCGCATGAGCTGCCCTGGGGGTTGCTCGGTGAGTAATTAAGCGGCAAGGTGAGCCCATTAGTTGTTCAACCTTGAACTTGGTTTATCGTTTTAGAGCGATTGCTACCAATCTGGGAGATTGGCTTGAAACCATCCAATGAGATACGCGTTCTCAACACGGCCGCATCAATCGCTCCGCGCACATAGAAGCCCTATTGCAACATGCCTCGCATATCTCAAGCCTTGCCCCGTCAATGCCTCCATAACAAGGTGGGAGTAGAATTGACCATTTCCATTTCATTCAGGAGCTAACAGCTTCCATAATCGACAGAGTTAGTTAACAATGATACCAGCGCCCTACCACTTGCACCCAGCCAGCTCCCGACGGCAGACCCACGACTGCGGGCACACCCCGCATTCTTTGTCCAGCGCACGCTTCAAAACAGTCCCAAAAACTTGCGCCTCGTCTTCTTTTCTGCCGACTCGACCAGATTCGTCACCGCCGCCGCCTCCACGTCGTCCTGACAGAACGGTCCTGTCCTCCCCTCCACCCTCATCCACTCCTTAACGCGATCATCCACGTCCCTCCACCCTCCGTCCAGTCTCCTCGCGCTCAGGTACGTGACACACTGACCCCGCCCATACCACGCCGGGCACCTGCCCACCCTTGTCCACGCCCACGTCCCGCCCTCCTTGGTCACAGTATAATCACAGCGTTCTACCACAGCCGGCGTCGTGAGCCCCGTGTTCTTCTGCGCGGCCCTGCGCCCTACGTACGTCCACGCCGCCGCCAGTTGTCTTCTCACGCGTCTCGGCGCCGTGTCTATGACGGTAGCCACATCTGGATGGCCAGCTCTCTTTCGCGTGAGCACCAGCCCCCCGGCGTCATCGCGTGCAACGACAACGCGGGCGGGCGGCGATAGGATGGCGTCTACTCTCCGGGCAGGCGTGGTCGGTCGATACCGGAACTCGTTCATCTTCTTGTGCGGGGCAACAAGGCCCGTGTAGAAGAGAGAGGATCGCACAAGCAGTGTGGCCGCATGCGTGAGGGCATTCGGAGCTCGAAGACGGCCTCCCGTCGAGGATGTGAGATGAATGACGGATTGCTTGGACTCGGCGTCGGTGGTGTTCTGAAAGCGCTTTTCCAGAAGCACTTCTTCGATTCCCTCGACGTGGGCTAGTTCGCGACCGTTTCCCAAGGCGATCAAGGTGCCGCTGCATTCCCAGACACCACCACCGCCGGATCGGGCTGACACGAGATCGCGAACGTCTTCCGGGCGCCAACCAGGCATGACTGAGTGGACGTGTGCAAAAGCAGGTGGACACAAGTTTGCAGACTGTGGTGTTTACCCAAAGTTGGTCTAGGTTTACCGAGTGTCCAGATGTGTGCGTCCAGATGTGTGTGTCTCTAGATGTGTGTCTAGATGTGTGTGTCCAGATGTGTGAGGTCCACCTAGAATTCTCCCCCTGTGCTTGCCGCTTTTCGCTCCGCTCCGAACGTCAATGTGAGCTAACAAGCGGGTTTGATCCCGATGCAGCAGTAGAGCACAGTACGTACCGAAAAATCACCAGTATCGGCGTAAATTGGCAGACAACAGAAAGACACAGCCCCAACGGCTCCGTTAGCCCCAACCTGATAGAGTCCAGAGGCGAAGCGGGGAGGCTCTACAGAACACATTGTATCATACTGTACCAACGGTGCTGCACAGCATGGTTCAACTGTTCTCCGCACGTTGTTCGCTCCGCACGGAACAGCTCTTCAGTACTGTAGTAGAATTAAAATTCATGCTATTTAATTATTTATATTTGTATTCACCCAAAGTTAAAGTCTGCATTAAAACGCCACACCGCTTACACGTGCACAACAGTCTAAATCTTCACAACTGTACAGTTGTGAATTGGGTCGTCAGATGTTGAGTGTAGGTGGCGTATTACACGCACCACTGTCGGCCGAAGGTACAATGTAATGGGTCATGTATGACGTACGCCACAACCCCGAAGGGTCGGCTAATAGACATACTTAAAGGTAGCCTCGCGAGAGTAAAACTCGAGGAAGGGGGTATCCTCGACGGCATTGTGCCGAATAACCGTGCCTTTCATCGCTCAGTCAAACCATCCTCTCCACTGCGTTACGAGAGGCCCTTCCATCGATCCATAATCATGGACAGCAAGGCTGTCCCGAAGGGCCCATCCACAGTTATGGGCCCAGAGGATGAATTGGCTCCGAGCAGTATCCTTGTTCCTCCCAAGCTGAGGACCACGACTGATAAGCTCCAGTGGCGCGAAGCTGTTCGCGACTGGGCACTCAATCTTCAGATCTGCGCCAAAGGCGGCGATAATCGCGCAAAGGGAGCTGCCGCTTCAATCGGTCTGACGCTCTACCGCTCCCTGGAATTCAACAAGAAGGAACTCGTCAAAAAGGCTATGAAAACCGGAGAGCTCTCCTTGGTGCCACAAGACAGCAATCAAGCTATCGACCAGAATGCAATTCTCGAGAAGATCCTCAACATCGTAGCGAAGGACTCTGCTGTCGACACTATCAAGAGAATGGTCAGGCTTAACAAAGAAATTCATGGATGTGTCAGAAAAAAGGACGAGACAATCAGTTTCTACGTAGAACGCTTCAGCGGACCTGCGCAGGCATACCTAAACCTTGTCAACGCGAATCAAGATGGCTCTGACAGTCAGAACTTTGCCATCGTACTGCTCGTCAACGCCAGGGTGTCCACACAGACGTTCACCAACCTGGTGAGCTCATTAGTCAGCACCGCAAAACATCGTTCAGGAGCCCCTACATCAGAAGTCACCCTTACCGAGGCTAGGATCACCATTGTTTTAAGATTACTCCAATGCATGCAGTCCGCTATTGACAACAAAGAGATCCTGGACACCAACCGAATCGGCGCCCAGGACAACATCGGTGAATGTACGGGTGCCCTCAAAGCCGCAACTCTGGCGCGCAAAGGAGGGAATTCAGACGGTGAAATGACTTATTTCATCGGATTACAGGACGCCATCACAGCCTTAGAGGAGGCAGGTCTAGAAGAGAAAGACCTCGATGACGGCAAAAAGGGGGAAGAACAACTGAAACCGACGACGGCGGCCATGATGGGCATCTACGGGCATAGGACACCGTTCCACGGCACCAAAAGGAAACGTGGACATTGGCGAAGTCGCAAACAACAAGAGGAGAGGGAGAGAGAATATCAAGGAGACAGTGACACCGAGTCAAACGGTAAAGACCTGCGGGAGACGATCAAGAAGAATCGTAAGCCCGATAAATATTTCAGACGCAAAAAACAGGTTAGCTTTGAACAGAACGAGATCGAGGACGATCAGGACAAGCCTAGATACAACACGGGCAACCAGCATTTTCAGTAAAGGGTTCGTCATCTTCTCCCAGTGATCCGAATCCTATCATCGACCCAGGTAACCCTACCTCTACCGGGGGAATTTATTCCGCTTCTCGACTCTGTGACATACTTGATATCCCGTTCGTCCTAGATCCGCCAAGGGACCAGTACAGGCGTGGTTGGGGACATGAGTGTGCCAACCCTGAAGATATTGTCTGTTCATGGACTCTGTATTTGCAAGATCTCAATGACCAAACTACATCCCTCACATTCGACCTTGTCCAGGACGACTCTCCTATCACGATCGGCATGGATGTCTCACAACACTCCGTGCTTAACTTCTCGTCAGAATATCCCACCATGACCATAGCACGTCCAACGGATAAGTCTCCCAGAGTACTGTCTATCTACGTAGACGGAGCATCCAAGTTCCAGATTCGCGGGAGGATACTCATCGTTCCAATCGCTCATTTGACGTCCTCTTTGATGGCCACAAATGCCGTTTCCGTCACGTCACGACCAATGACTACAGCGAAACGGATGCATAGACTCACACATGCGACCGCCGAGGAACTGATACACATCTGCAAAACAACCGACTGGCTTACCCCTGACCTGGAAAGGTCAATTCGAAATGTAACTGCAGCATGTAGAATATGTGCGAAATCAGGTCTCCCGGCACCCTCCAAGAAAATATCAATCACGCACGTGGATGAAGCGTTCAACCAGGATGTACAAGTAGACTTCACGTTCTGCACAATCCGCGGCACCCAATATACCGTCCTACACATGATCTGTACAGGAACAGTATACTCCGAAACGCAAATTATGTCCAACCGCGAAGCCGCTAACATCACGCAGGTGCTGGAAACCGAATGGTTCAATCGACACGGAGCTCCCAAATCATTATCCGCCGATGACGAACTGAATTGCAGACACATCCAAACATTCCTCCGCGCACGTGATGTCCGATTTGACCCTCGACCTGCACGCAGGCACAACAAGACGGGACGTGTCGAACGCAAACACCGGACACTGAAAACCATTCTCGAAAAAACAGCAAAAGAACCGACCTCCGAACCCGACAAATTAATTCTGTCCAGAGCCACATTTTTCTCCAACTGTTTCTCCGGTACCCGAATTCTCAGCTCGTTCGAATTAGCGAGAGGATACGCCCCATCAATACTAGGGACATCGCCACGAATGGTCAGCGCAGAACTCCTGTCCGCTCACAAAGAACAGGTAGCAATACGTGCCCTACAACGACTGCTTCATGCTCGCGCACCATCCCTCGTCCCGCCGAGCTCCATAAAACCCGACGACATCGTGCTGTACTACTACAGCTCCTCCAAGAATAACGAACCGGACGAGTGGAGGGAAGCCAAGGTGATATCCGTCAACACGCACTTTGTGGAAGCCCGACGCGTCGGAACGACGAGAGGACCAGCAAGCAAAATCGCCTACGAAGACATCAGGCTGCGACCAGATCAAGCACTCACACACGAACTCATGGATAGTACAATAGAAGACTACCTCATGTCACCGCATGGGGGGGAGACACAACTGACGCATCCGATGAGAAACGAAGTGCCAAACGAAACACACCACACTGGAGCAATGCTAGCCACTCAACGAGAGTACTCAGATCCAGCTTCAAGAGATATTGGGCCATACGCTGCCTCCATCTCGGAACAAAAGGCTTACAGAAGAGATGTAACTAACGTCCTGACATCCAACGAGCAAATTGTACTGAGAGGGATACATGAAAAGATTGGGAACAAGCAAGTAACGACACGCGAAATGGAATTCGCACCATCATGGGTACTCCAGAACGCCATGGAAAGAGAACATCACAACAATTGGATTGGCGCATACAAAGAAGTACCTGAGTCACACGTGCCACGCGGCGCCAATGTCATCTCCTCACACACCCTCTTCAAGATCAAGAGTCACGAAGACAACAGACTCGAAATGAAGGCTCGTTTCGTATTGCATGGAAACCGCGACAAAGAGAAGGATGACATCCGCAAAGACTCAGCTGCAGCAGACATGATTGTATTTCGTCTGGTGATCAGCCTGGGGCTAATACTTGGATTCACATTCGGCGTGGCCGACATCAAGGGTGCGTACATGCAGAGCGGACCAGCCAATCGTGACATCTTCGTCAGACCCCCGAAAGAGTGGAATTCCACCCGGGGTATGCTCTGGAAACTGTTGAAACTGGCATACGGCATTGCCGAAGCAGGTAGACAATGGCTTACCACCATCGAGACGTGGATGGTCGAAGAAGCCGGAATTGAAAGAGTGTTCGGGGTCAACCAGCTTTTCGTCAAAAGGGATGAGACGAATAAGATCATCCTACTCATAGCCAAAGTCACGGACGATTTCCTAGTCTCTGGCACCATCGAATACATCAAGCAATTCCTGGACAAACTCTGCGCTAGCTTCGAAGTCGGAAAGATTCGAAACGGACAGGACTTCCATTTCAACGGATGTGAGGTGACGATCGACTATCATGGGAACGTAACCCTCTCGATGGACAATTACATATGCCGCCTGAAACCCATACAAGTTTCCCGCGCGAGACGTCAAGAACAGGAAGCCAAAGCAGACACTCGAGAGGAAGCAGAGTATAGGTCACTCGCAGGAACGCTCATGTACCTTGGTACAGCGATCGTTCCCCAAGCAGCTCTTGTCACTTCACGCATGCAGCAGCGTCTCGGAGACCTACGGGTTAAACATCTCGTGGACGCAAACATCATGTTACGCGAAATCATGAGACTACCGTTGAAGATAACGTATCTCAAACCGTTTAATATATCCAAAGCTACCCTCATGAGTATATCAGATGCTGCCCATGGCGGAAATGAATTCGACTACGGCCAAACCGGAGGCGTCTGCGGCCTCAAGATTGAATCACCTGACCGGATCGAACCACTGTTCCATCCCATCTCCTGGACTAGCCACAAACAGAAGCGCGTGACCTATTCGTCTTTCGGAGCAGAAATACTCGCCTGTGCCGACGCTGAGGATAGAGGATTCGATATGAAAGGGTCGTTCCATTCCTTATTTCCGAACAGACCTATCAGGCATGAGATACTTGTCGATTCGCGAGCGCTCTTCGACACAATATCCACGCTCCATGAGTGCAAAGAATACAGATTACGCAAGACCGTCAACCGTATTCGCAACGCGTTCGAATCGCAAGAGTTAGACTCGATTCGTTGGATCCCTGGCACGAAGAACGTCGCCGACGCGCTCACGAAACGCAGCACAGAGCTATGGCGACAACTCAGTGAGATGTTGTCCACCGGGTTCTGGAAGACCGACGTCGAGACTGGACACCACCACGATTCTAAAGATTGGAAATAGACGACTCGGTGAGTAACACGGTCGTCTGGGGGGAGTGTGAATTGGGTCGTCAGATGTTGAGTGTAGGTGGCGTATTACACGCACCACTGTCGGCCGAAGGTACAATGTAATGGGTCATGTATGACGTACGCCACAACCCCGAAGGGTCGGCTAATAGACATACTTAAAGGTAGCCTCGCGAGAGTAAAACTCGAGGAAGGGGGTATCCTCGACGGCATTGTGCCGAATAACCGTGCCTTTCATCGCTCAGTCAAACCATCCTCTCCACTGCGTTACGAGAGGCCCTTCCATCGATCCATAATCATGGACAGCAAGGCTGTCCCGAAGGGCCCATCCACAACAGTACCCTTGGTACTGTACAGTAGGGAGCAGAGCGCAACACAAATGCAAGGCAACTTGCCCGTGTGACAGACCTACATGTACAGTATCTGACTCGCGCGACGTAACAGTATGTACCAATTCTCCTCTGGGGTAGTTGACACTCCGCAACCGCAACCGCAGCCGCAACCACTCTCTACTTCACTTCATTCTCAAGCACGCTTGCGGAAACTCAGCATCACACTGCGTATCCAACTCGCATGCGCCATGCTCATCTCATTTGCCTGGCCCTATTTCTCGTCTTTGTACGACGTGTACAGAGCTCTGAACAAATCTCTGTTATCGCTGTCGTCCTCGCCTGTGAACGCTCCTCTCACTTGAAGAGGACACTGCGCTCCCTTGCGAAAGCCACCGTACAGTCACCTGCTCTTCCCGTGTACGTCTCTGTGGACGAGCATCCCAAGTCTTATCGAGCAGTGCGAGCGGCAACGCTGGAACGGAACGTCAAGCAAGTATGGCAGCACATCCCATCTGCAGACTATCCCGCTCAAACCACTCGCCACCGCATCGCCCGTCACTACCATTTTGCGCTATCGCAAGCTTTCGATTCACGTGAGAATGCCAACGTTTCTCATGTCCTCGTTCTTGAAGACGACCTTTTATTCGCGCCCGACTTTCTGGCGTACATGCTCGCTGCAGCGAGGCACTTGACGAGGGCAGACAAAAATGCCATCGTATGCGCTTCTGGTTGGAATGACAATGGGCGACACGAAACAGATATGCGGAGCGCCCGCCTGACCACTTCCTTCCCCGGCTTGGGTTGGATGCTACCCCGTGCCCTGTGGACGGATTATTTGCGTCCCAACTGGCCCGGTGCTCCAAACTCCACCTCGACCAGCATAGTGGGTATTGGATGGGACTTTTGGCTGCGTGTCGCCTTCGAGGCTCATGGATGGGCGTGCATCACTCCAGCTGTTCCTCGTGTCTTCCATTTCGGCGCCACTGGGTCCAACGTTGCAGCGCAAGAGACGGAGCAGCTCTTTGCGTCGTCACCGCTCGCGGACCTCCCTGCTGGCAGCGTTGATTGGGATGCAACCCTTTCAAATGTCGCTGACAAACAGTCTACGGCAGAACAAGTGCAGGAAAGGCTTGTGAAAGGCCACCATGTCAAGTCTTTTGAAGACGCCAAACGGCACAGTGCCACCGCACCAGTGATGCCCTACTTGCGTGAGTCCTTTGCACATTTCATCGCCGAACCCTTAAAGCTATGGCCAACTCCGCGTGGACATTTCCACCACACTCTTCTCGTGCAGGTGGCACCCCAAAAAGATTTGCTGTTGTACGACGCGCGCCGCGCGGCAAAGCATTTCACGCTTCCTACGAAAATTTTGGATACAGGGGCCTTTCGTTTGCATAGAGCTGGTCGAAATGCATCTTGTGAGCAGGAATGCAGAGCGCTGGGATTGCGTTGCTCGACTTCATCTCTCGAATTTGCGAATTCATGCGAGAGCCTGTCACAAGTGATGCCGGATGGCTGCCAAGGAGGGTGCGCATATGAGACTGGCAATGACCTACCAGCTCGCGTCGACGACGAGGCGCCACTGCAAACAGCTGGGATGTGCCTTATCGCAGAGACTGGCGCAACCAAAGACGGCCGTTTGGATTGCAAAGGGACCCACGAATGGACAACTCGGAGCTGCGCATGCGTCGAGGCGTTTGGGCGCGAGTTGAAGGACGAACTGAAAGACGAACTGTAAGGGGCGAGCAGTAGGAAGTGTGTGAGCTTTTTGGTCAGAAAGCATTTCCAGACTTTGCAGGTTGGATAACCGTTCGATGGTACAGTATGCGGTTGCTCTGAGGTATGTCGTCTTCCATAGAGCCGTACGGCACTACGGGCCCGTCCGAGGCTCTAAGGAAAAAAGTAGAAAGTTATGAAGTTTATTCCGTGCCTTCGACCTCGGCCGGTGCTCTTTTTCGTGGACTGGTCCGTTGAGACCCTTGGCGTTTTGTGTCTTGCAACTGATCATCCGGTTGAAAGTGTTCTTCCGTGAACCCGGGGTCAATATCCTCGGGCAAGCATCGATACCGCGGCATACGCACGGCGGTGAAATAGAGATCAGGCCTACCACTGAGGCCGAGATGCGGCGAAGCCACGAGGTGCCCCGCAGTGGACGCGCCGGGCACCTTTTGGAAGACGGCTGGGAGGGCGCGAATACACTGAAACGGGATTTGAAACCCTTTTACGCGGGATACGGAACTGGTGATGCGCTCCCAGTCGACCCTGCGAATCTGGCGGACATACAACTCGGTGTCTGTCAGGGCGGACTGGAGCTGCTCGTCCTGGGCGCGCAGGGCGGCAAGCATGACGTCGGTTGGGGAAATGGGCGGGTGCCCCTCGTCGAGGTTGGTGATCGGGGCGGCTGACATGACGAAGCGGTTGTCCCAGTACACGCCGGCGCCGTCGGTGTCCGTGGGGATGGGCAGGCTCGACCAGTTGCCGCGCAGGCGGCGCGACTTGAGCGGGCCGGACTCCTGGTCCGGCTCGCGCGTGAAGATCATGAGGTCGTCGGGACAGTCGCGAAAGTCAGTGCGGAAGGCATCGACCAGGGACTTTGCGCGCTCGCGCGGGCGATGGCGCAGGGCGCGGCGGTCGGCCTGGGCGAGGCGCTTCGCGAAGCGGCCGGTGGCCGGGCGGACAACAATGCCAGCGGCAGTGCGGCCCTTCGGCAGCGGGACGAGCTGGTTGGTGGAGCGGTCGACGGCTAGCAGGTCGTCGGCGAGGCGGGCGATGTTCTCGTCGTCCAGTGTGAGGTGGTCCGCAGAGCCCGAGACGTGAAGGGCCATGCGGGCGATGGCGTGCAGGGCGACGAGACGGCCGGGGTGGGCGTC